TCAAGTGAAGAGTATTTCTCAGGGCTTGCAATGTGGCATAACAGGTTAAAGTGTGGTCTGCAATGCTGTCATCCCATAAAGGCACCAATTTGAGTCCTGGCTGCACCACTTCCTATCCAACTCCCTGCTAATGCCCCTGAGAAAGCAGCAGAGAATGGCCCAAGTCCTTGGGTGCCTGTACCCACGAATGAGACCCAGATGAACTTCCTGGCTCCTGGCATTGGCCTGGCTCAGCTCTGGCCATTTGGGGCCATCTGGGGAGTGAACCAGTGGGTAGAAGATATTTCTGTTTCTCCTTTTCTCTTTCTCTGTAACTCTGCCTTTGAAATACATAAAATATATCTTTAAAATATTTTTAAAAAGAATATTTCTCCACTGTCACATCTCTGAAGTGGTTGGCATGGTAATAGTTGTTTAGTGGTCAGGAACCATGACTGATCTGCAACAGACATAGAAAAAACTAAGCGGACCCTGACATATTGAAACTGTACATAAGAACTTATCAGTTGACATGCAGTCCCTTTGTAAGATCCCAAAATCCAGACCTGGATGGACCTCTCACTGCTGTACCTCTCCCGGCAAGCAGGAATATGTGTTTTACAATAAAATCTACTTTCACTTGCAAAAAAAGTGCTAATATAATTCAAATTATCTTTCTTAATTCTTCCAATTTGATTTGTCTTAATTTTATTTCACCAAGCAGAAAATCATGTATAGTGAATTTAAACCAACATTGAAATGGTAAAATATAAATAAACATTTTATTTTTAATATAAAGAAAATTCTCTTTTAAATTATATAGTAAAAACCAAATAGTGTTTCTTGATAAAGGCACTTACTACTTATCCAAATGTTGAGAAATTGACAATAAATTATTAGTATTTTTAAAAGGGCAGTTAAAATAACTTATCTCTTGGCTTTGCTTTTTTAAGGGGGGAAGGTTGTGTGTTGCTCAAATTACAAAAGCTGTTAAAGTAATTTTTTTTTAAGATTTATTTTATTTGTTTGAAAGACAGAGTTACGGAGAGAGGTAGAGACAGAGAGAGAGGTCTTCCATCCGCTGTTTCACTCCCCAGATGGCCGCAATGACCAGAGCTGCGCCGATCTGAAGCCAGGAGCCAGGAGCTTCTTCTAGGTCTCCCACATGAGTACAGAGACCCAAGGACATGGGCCATCTTCTACTGCTTTCCCAGGCCATAGCAGAGAGCTGGATTGGAAGAGGAGTGGCTTGGACTAGAACCGGCGCCCATATGGATGCCGGCACTTCAGGCCAGGGTTTTAACCTGCTGTGCCACAGTACCAGTCCCTAAAGTAATTTTAATATCATAAGTGATTCTCAAAAATTAGGAAGTGTCATCTGTCTTTTCCGAGATAAATAATTTCTATACATGAATAGATTTCATCAAACTGGAGACAAGATAAATATTCCAAACTTCTTTTCTTTTTTTATCTGTCTAGTATATGTAGCAAGGTATAATCATTAATATTTACTCAATATATTCATCAGACTTTAATTTGTTGAGCTCTTGTGTGCTAGCGCTGTGCTTAATGTTCTACATAGACTACTTGTGTGTGTTAACAACGTTTTTTGTCATGTGTGCATGCATGCACATACACACACACGACTTCCTTTTTTATATATTTATGGCACCTATGTAGTACGTGGTATGTTTTTGTTTTTTATTTTTTTAACTTTTATTTAATAAATATAAATTTTCAAATTACAACTTTCAGATTATATCGGTTTTTCACCCCATAACCTCCCTCACAACCGCAGACTATCCCACCTCCTACTCCCTCTCCCATCTCATTCTTCATTAAGATTCACTTTTAATCATCGTTATATACAGAAGATCAACTTAATATATACTAGGTAAATTTCAACAATTTGCACTCACACAGCACACAAAGTATCAAGTACAGTTTGAAGACAGGTTTTACCATTAATACTCATAGTATGACACATTAAGGACAGAGATCCTACATGGGGAAGTGCACAGTGACTCCTGTTGAATTAACGATTGACACTCTTATTTATGATGTCAGTAATCACCTGAGGCTCTTTTCATGAGCTGCCAAGGATATGGAAGCTTGATGAGTTCACAAATGCTGACCTTATTTAGACAAGGCCATAATCAAAGTGAAAGTTCTCTCCTCCCTTCAGAGAAAGGTACCTCCTTCTTTGATGGCCCGTTCTTTCTACTGGGACCTCACTCACAGAGATTTTTCATTTAGGTCATTTTTTACCACAGTGTTTTGGCTTCCCATGCCTAAGAAACTTTCATGGGATTTTTAGCCAGATCTGAATGCCTTAAGGGCTGATTCTGAGGCCAGAGTGCCATTTAGAGCATTTGCCATTCTATGAGTCTGCTGTGTATCCTGCTTCCCATGTTGGGTCATTCTCTCCTTTTTAATTCTATCAATTATTATTAGCAGACACTAGTCTTATTTATGTGATCCCTTTGACACTTAGTCCTATCTTTATGATAAATTATGAACATAAACTGATCACTTTAACTAGTAAGATAACATTTGTACCTGCCAACTTAATGGAATTTTGAGTCCCATGGCATGTTTCTAGCTCTACCATTAGGGGTAAGTCCAAGTGAGCCTGTGCTGAACTGTACATCTCCTCCCTCTCTTATTCCCACTCTTATTTTTTATAGGGAGTTAAATTTAAACACCTAAGAATAATTGCACACACTACTTACTTATGAAGACCAACACCATGTTGGTAGGTAGAAACAGGGCTTGATTTTGAATCTAACTCTGAATTTTTTTAAAAGATTTATTTATTTATTGGAAAGTCAGAGTTACACGGAGATAGGAGAGGCAGAGAGAGAAGGGTCTTGCATCTGATGGTTCACTCCCCAATTGGCCACAATGGCTAGAGTTGCACCGATTCTTATCTAGGAGCCAGGAGCTTCTTCTGGGTCTCCCACATGGGTGCAGGGGCCCAAGGACTTGGGCCATCTTCTACTTCTTTCCCAGGCCACAGCAGAGAGCTGGATTGGAAGTGGAGCAGCGGGGTCTCGAACCAGCACCCATATGGGATGCCAGCGCTTCAAGCCAGGGCATTAACCCATGGTGCCACAGCACCGGCCCCTAACTCTCTGAATTTTAAATCCTCAGTTCTTAATGTATTCAGGGTGTAAGCTGGCATCCAAGAGCATATTTTCTGAACTTCATGATTCTATAAAATAATTTAAAATTCTTTGCATTTTCTTTAAAATAATTTAAATGAAAAATATGTGTGCTGTCTGGATTATCTGTGTGATTGGATACATTTGTCTTCATGCCTCCATAAGCATACCTGGATTTGGATAATAGCATGAAAAATAAATGAGGAATATTTCACAGGTAAATGACTTTTTCCCACCAAGTGTAGGACCCATAGCATCTTGTACTATGCAGATGAACGTTTCTCGAAAGTTTATAGAGGCAGCAGTTGAGGGAAAACTGAGTCATTACATAATGCAGTGTATTAAAGGATTAGTAAACCCCCAAAACATATACTATAGTAGCTGTTTCCTGATCTATATAGCCAAAGATAATTTAATTTCAGGAAAACAAAGTCTTAATGCTACATTAGATACATGTTGTTCTATAACATTTTATTGTTTTGTCATTTTTGTTCTTGTATTTGTACATTTGCTTTAATATTGTAATTATGTACAACTAAAAACATAAGAACATGTCTAATTTTATGTTTGAACATGTTTAAGTAACATGAAAATCATTTAAGTCAGTACTGAGAGTCTGAGTTTTTCTTTTCCTTTAAAAGAAATTTGGAAGAGGCTTCCACTGTGTGATGTTTTCTCACTGGTTGATTGTTAGTATCACACCATTTGTTTTTATTATTATTTCACACAATGTTGGTATTACACAAATTGCTTCATCATTTTCAGTACCTCATTAGGCATTTTTCTTTTGCTTTTTTTTTTCTCATAAATGTTTAGCATTTTAAAAATAAAGCTATTCATTTAACTTCATCTTGTCTAATTCCTATGACTGTTTCCATATATCGTTACTTTACAAATCTTGTTTCTAGAAAATAACGACTTTGCTTCTTTTTAAGTTAAACATTTAAAAACCTTAAGCTTCCTGATCTAAGATTTGGAAATGTGGATCAGGTTATTAAATAAGATAGAAAACTGAGTTCATTGAATTTCTGAAACATATTTAAGAATTACAAGAACTTACTTGATTTTTCAATAGTGCTGCAAGCTTTTTAAATTATAATAAATTAACTTAAATTTTTACTAATTTTGTTGAGAACTTCTCAATTCAGCCTAACTGGATAGACTCTTCCTCAAATTTTGTAAAATTCTTCCTAGAGAGTTAGTGGTACCATATTCTTATTATGAGAATGCTTTAATTCAGTTTATCTTATACACTGAGAAAGGTTGATATAATACTCAATGATGCTCAATTTATTATGATTTATTGGTTGGTGGGTTTTAGCTATTATATCATTTTTCAAAAGCAATATATTATTTAGTTCCTTTTTGTTATTAAAGTTTTTGAATTAGAAGAATGCTGTTTCTGGAAGAGAAATTGTTGAATTTGTTTAAAGTTAAAATAAAAATATCAAATGAAAATCACTCTAAGATAATTAATCTCTACCTTTTTTATACTTTAAAGAATTAAAACATAAATTTGAATGTATTTTCATTAGACATCTATACACCTAAATTACACATTGAAAAATTTTAGCTCTCATGTTTTCCCCATCCCATCCTTTCATCCAGGGAAAGCATTGTTGAAATGTATTTCCATTTATATGCAAGTGCCCTCTGTATGGACAGTAGTAGTCCTTTTCTATACATATGTCATTTGAAGATAGAATAAATCATGTATAATTCACAGTCAGTATGTACATTAATTTCTTGCTAGAATCTAGATAAGGTGAAATGCATTTATACTTCCATACATGAAATTTCATGACATTGATAATGCTTTCTATTAAACTGTGCTTCAATATTCTGTTTTATCTGCAGCTGAATGTGGTGCATCTGCAACAAATAATGAAGGAATTTTGCTCTCTCCAAATTATCCTCTCAACTATGAAAACAACCACGAATGCATTTATAGTATTCAGGTTCAAGCAGGAAAAGGAATCAATATTTCAGCCAGAACGTTTCATTTAGCACAAGGAGATGTTCTTAAGGTAGGTGAACTTAGACATATTTGTATTTTGATCATTTTTAATCATTAAGTTTACGAATACATAATCATTAAGTATATTATACATTTATTTATATAGTATACTTAATTATTATTTGTATTTGTATTGTACAAATAATTTGTATTATATATGCATATATAATTAAACCAAATTATACATTAATTCTCATATTCCTGTTATTTTCATTGGAATAGAATATTTGTTTCACATCTTTATAATATGAAAAGGTAAGCTTTGTCATTATGATGCACAAACAACTGTTTCAATGACATTCAGTTGGAAACCTTGATGCCAAATATCTTATTTGATAAATGTTACACATACAAATGCAATATAATTAACACATTAATGATAATTTCTAATATAATGATGTTTTTATGCTTTTATTTTTATATTGATTAGGTAACATTGATTTCTGATAAATGATGAATTCTTTGCATCTGTGATTACAGATAAAATTATACATATATCCCATTCAAATTACAAATACAAAAATACTTTATTAGTAATAAATTTATTATTAAAGATAAAATCTTTGGCAAATATTTCCATGGTTTCTGATTCATATTTGATACATATATTGGTAAATTAGTTTGGTTTATTTTTAAAATAAAACAAATACTGCTATAAAATCACACTTAATAATTAAAAGTAATTATTTGTTTTTTCTATTTATCAAGATTATATTAATGCCAGTAATAAATTAAATATACTTCTGTATTTAGAAATCCTGAAGAAAATTATAATATCCCAGATTGGCAGGAGTGGTGTTTCTTGTTTAAATAATGTTATTAATATTGTTAATTGCTTTCTTTTTTAAAAAATTAAACCATCTTATGATTATTGATAAGTCTCTAGCAAAAACAACACTGCCAAGTTTTAAAATTTGTATAGATTTGGGGAAAAATATCCTGCTTAACATCTAGATACATACAACTTTAATATTAATTTAGGCCCAGTATATACATTACTACATTCTGCACTCTTCTCCAGTGGGAGGGGGTAAATTTCCCCCACTAGTTCATTGTTTGGATTTTCCTGTTAAAATAAATTTTTGGTAAATAGAATTCAACACTGAGATTAATGGGAAGCTTATACATAGAATTGAGGCTGATTTATTTTTCCTTAGACTACAGGGGAAAATTCTGTAAGCATAGCTACTATTCTTTATCACACAATCAACAATAATAAATAAGTCTTTAAAAAAAATTAGAAAGCATATGCTCTCATACCTATTACTTGTACCTCTGACTGTTTTTCCTAAAATATTCTTTTCCTGTCCTTTTGTGGAGCTTGAATTTTATCCATTACTTTCTATACTGAATGATACTCGCAATTTGGAAAATTCATTTAGCAAACTGGCAACTCCTTTTGCAAATAAAATATCCCTGATGTGTTCCTCAGAGTGCTTTCTAATTGAAGTCTTACTTATTTGGATGGATTTAAGGTCACAGGGTTTTGTGATAATTTTACCCTGGGATGTTAAGACATCAGGTAATAAGGAACAAAATGAGAGATGTGATAGTGAGATTATTGAAGGCAGGAAAATAAAAGTCCGTGTAAGGATTTTTTGTTGTTGTTGTTAAGATTCATTTATGTATTTGACAGGGTTCAGAGAGAGAGAGAGATAGTAAGAGAGAAAGAAAGAAACAGAGAAACGAAGAGAATTTTCCATCCAGATGACTCACTCTACAGATGTCTGCAATGGCCAAGGTTGGGCCAGACCAATGGAGGAGCCAGGAGCTTCTTCTGGGTCTCTAACATGGGTATAAAGGAGCCATCTTTTAATGCTTTCCCAGGCCACTATCAGGGAGCTACATTGGAAGTGGAGCATCCGAGACATGAACCCATGCCCATATGGAACATCTGCTACACCACAAGGCTTGTTAGTGGAGTTATCTTAATGTTGATTTGTCTTTCAGGAAAGACAGGATGAAAACTTATAACCTCAGCAATTTTTAACATTTTTGTAAGTTTCCTTAAATAAATATATATCCCCTCAAATTAAAAAAAAGATTATTTACTAAATAATTGTAACGCAGAAATTAATTAACAGACACACATACCAGTTCATATATACTGATTATTTTGCTTGAAAATTTATTCTTAATTATTTTAAAATAACTTCAACATTGTTTCTCTAGCTTAGTACCCTCTACTCTTACTGGCCTCCTTTCTATTCATCACATTCAACAAGCATGTTCTAACTTAAGGCCTTTCTCAGGACAACCCTTATGTTGAATGTTCTTGCCTATGGTGTCAACATGGTTTCATTCTTCATTTCCTTAGGTCTTAAATGTCACCTTAGCAGTGTCTTCAACTGTCTCTCCTATGTAAAATGGTAACTTCTCTTCCATTGTCTCTCTCCATATCATTGGTCTGATCTATTCTTCTTTATCTTGCTAATCACAACCTGACATAGTATGTATGCATGGTTTATAACTTCTTTTTGTCTTCCACAGTACAATGTATGCTATAAGACAACAGGGGATTATTCTATCTCATATTTCCTAACCCATATACTTGGGAACAGTATCTGCCAAATAATAAATGCTTAATAAAAATTTCTTTTTTCTCCTGGGGAGAAAAAAAAAAAAAACTACTAAATAAATTCAGCTACTTTCTATGTGAAGCTTAAAATATATTTATTTTCTTTAATTTCAATTGTTAGTATTTCTAATCTAAGAAAAGCAAATATATATTTTATATAACATGGGCTTCATTTAAGTATTTCCTCCTCTGCTGAGCAAGTTTGATCAAAAATATCTAAAAATTCAGGGATATACATGCTAGTACATGAGTATTATTAGACCAACATATCTACTCGATCAACTAATTTAGCAAATTTATTCCAACACTTTCAAACATATTTAGGTTGATTCATTTTTCCATACACCTATTTTGTCATTAAGAATGGACTCTAGGGTCAGGTAGACCCAGGCTAAAATTTTAGAATTGCCACTTAAGAGTTGCACAGTTTTAAAAATGACTTTGTTTGGATGACAGACAAGCAGTGAGAGGACATTAGGGGGAGAGAGAGAGAGAGAAAGAAAGAGAGAGAGAGAGAGAGAGACCGACCTTCTATCTACTGGCTCACTTTACAAATGCCTACAACTCCAAGAGTGGGCCAGGCCAAACCCAGAAGCTTGGAACTTAATCCAGGTCTTCCACATGGGTGGCAGGGCCCCAAGTACTTGAGCTATCATCTACTTCCTCCCAAGGTACACATCAGTAGGAAGCTGGAATCTGAAGCATTTCAGAGCCCTGAACAGAAACATTCTGATGTAGGATGAAGGCAGGGTTGCAGGAGTAGTGACAGGAGGAATCTGTGGTTCCAGTTGCTCAGGTGGCTTGTCCCCACGAAATGTGGCAGATTCTTATTTTCACCAGATTCTTTACAAATGACACAGCTCCCATGTTACAGCTCCTGTGTTGCAGCCTCTCTTCTCCCATGGGGTCACAGGTTCTCCCCTCTGTCAGGTTCATAGAGGAGTGGTGCAGTCTTCTGGGTTACAACTTTTCTTGTCCTCTGTGTTCTTTGTCTTATGACCATGAAGAATGAGGCACATGGGAAAGGAAGAGTGAGCAAAGAGAAGAATGTTCACTTAAAAAGCTGAGAAGGCACCCAGCAGGTGGGTGGGCTGGCTGAAAGGGACTTACTACCCTGAAAGAGGCATCCAATGCAGCGCTGTGAAGAGGGGTTTTTATTTGTTTCTAAAGGAGGAAGTTCATCTGATTGGTAGAGGTATATACTAAGGAAGCATTCAACATCAGCCAATCAGAGGAATCACATTCTATTTTGCCTAGAAGTTTGCAGAGTACTCAATCAGGTCTGTGATAGGCAAGCCATTCCCCAGATACAGCAACATCAGAATGTTACATTTTATATATTTCTCCCATCTCTCAGGTTCCTGGAGGGTTACACCATGTAGATTTCTTCCTTTCCTTTCTAGGGGCCCTGAAGTCCCTGTCAGCAGCATCTTAAAAGGTGTGCCCAATGTTTGACTCTAGTTACAAATTTTATAATACTTTTAAACCTCAGTTTCACGTATATATTTGTTTCAGAGTAAACATAAATATAAGATGTAGCTTGGGATGCCCACAGCACATGTTGGAGTCCTTAGATTTGAGTCCCAGCTCTACTTCTGATCCAGCTCTCTAGTAGTGCATACCCTGGGAGGCAGTGGATGATGGGCCCTGTCACCCATGTGAGGGAATCCAGACAGATCCAGGCTCCTGGCTTTGGCTAGTCCTGTCTGTTGAGAGACTCATATTATAGCAGTATCAGGATTTCTCCATCTCTGTGTAAGTCAAATAAATTGAAAATAAATGAAAAATTTTAGAGTTCCAAATTGTGTGTGTGTGTGTATTAATCTATCTCAATTTCTTTCAAATAAAAAAAAATAATTTTAAAGAATGACCTCATTTCTTCACCTGAAAATGTGATATGAAGCTTGTATTCAAGATTGTTGTAATTTTTATCTCCTTTTTTCGGGAACTCTGCTATGTGAGGTTGGACACTAAAATCAGGTCCTTTGTCCATTTTAGTATTGGATCCAATTAAAAAACAAAAAACAACATCAACAATATAAATATTATTCAGTCGGTGGCCAAAGATTGAGAAAATGGGAAGCTAGCTAACAAATCAACTTCTCAACCTGCAGCCAGCCCAGGAACTGCAGATATAGAGCAATAGAATTGAAGAAAAGAAATATACTAGTAAATTTGAAGGGTTCTCTGAGAAAGGTACATCATAATTCTTGGACCCAGGAAGCTGCCTCCTTTTTTTGTCCTTTTATGTGGTTGTCATTATGATCGCCTACCAGTGAGTGTGTTATTTAGCAGGGAAACTTGATTGTTATGAAGTTTGAGGTCTTCTGAAAGTCTCTCCAGCAGCCATATTGTACCTAAGGGGTCTTGGCTGTGGGAGAAATGTTGACAGCAAAGCATCCTGTTCTCAAAGAGAAACAATGTAAAAATGA